GGATACAACACCCGACAACTGAACGAAGCAAACTATGACCATTTCCAAGTGAAACACCGGTATAATTTTGTCGATCTATCAACTGGGGTTCATACTCAACACATATATCGATTATGGGGCTCAGCGAAGTGGAGAAATAAAGTAAATAGAGGAACTGCCAGACAACACCTCGATTCATATTTGTGCGAATTTTTGTGGAGGCTGGTTCACAGAGAATAGGACCCGTTCCTCGCTATTTTAAATAGCAAAAAACAATTTTGCCTTCCAAAATAAATAAGACAAAGTGAAAATAAATTGTATATATGTTGTTTATAGTGTTGATATTTTTTCTTTTCTATGTAAATCTGTTCTTTCATTTTCATCTTTTATATCTACATATGTTCTTCAAGTGTTTTATTATTATTTCATTTTGATGTTTTATGTGTACATATCTTCTTAAAGTGTTTTTTTATTATTTCATTAATATATGTGTCGTAAAATAAAAGTTTTGTTTTTGTTATTACATTTGTTTTTGTATCTGTTTACACTTTCAATAATACGAATTTAATACAATAATACGAAGATATGAAGTAGGAAAAGGCTTATCAATGCGTTATGGGAATTATCAGTGTTCAGGTTATAAACATTGGCAGATAGCAGTCAGTGTCGGTCCGCTAGACAAAAGGTACCCAAATTTCATATCTCACCTCATCCCTACTGTGAAAAAACCTTAAATGACTCCCATCAAACTCATATCTATTCTACTTTGGAATGCGAACGGTGTTAGAAATTACCACGATGAACTAACAGCTTTACTACTAGACAAGAACATTGGCGTAGCCCTAATTACAGAAACTTCACTGCCCTGAAAACAGCTTTTAAAAATTCCATAGTACATAACATACCGTACTGACTATCCTGACGGCCGAGCACCTGCTGGTACTACTGTCATCGTACACCAATCCCTCTCTCATCAATTACTTCCATTAAGTACTCAAGATTTCCTACAGTCAACCGCTGTCGTAATCAAAACCTTCTCCTTTCCAGTCACCCTTTCATCAGCATATCGCCCTCCCAACAAATTCATATAAAAAGTCCAGTTCAGTTCTCTCCTCAACTCCTTAGGTCATCACTTCATCCTGGATGCAGACATAAATGCCCAGCATCAACAATAGAGTTCAAGAACGAAGTATTCTCGTGGCCAAACATTTTTGTTCACAACGTTTTAGCCTCCCTCCACCCAACTCACCTACCTACTCGCCCACTGTTCATAACCGCAATGCTGATATCCTTGATTTTTTTATCCAAAGTGGTTTAGATCCCCTCAATCATTCTTTTACCCGTCTTGACGAACTTTCCATCATAGTCCATTAATACTTCAATTATCAATAGCTCCTATTCCTGAACCCTCTCCACCGTCCTTCATCACAGGCCCAGTTAACTTGAAACTCTTTCATCAAATCCTTCCCGATAAAATTGACCTCAGAATATCTCTGAAAACCAGAATATCTTGATAATGCCGTATATTCCTTTACCACCACTATTTTACAAGTAATCTGGACTGCTTCCTCCCCAAATCTTTCCTCAAAAATTCCAGAGAAAAATAATTTACCTCAATATCTGATAGATCTTATTCACATCAAACGCCGTGCCATAATATTATGACAGCGCTCAAGACGCCCCACTGAAAGCCGTTCCTATAATTAAAACAGTAAACGATCAAAGCAGGAATTGGCCACCTTCAAATCCCAATCCTCCTACCATACTCTCCTCTCTGTTCATGACAATCCCCAATGAAAGATCACCAACAAAATTCTAATATCACATCATATTTCCAATCCCCTCCGTCGATGCGATTGCTCCTGGGCAGCGTCTGATGAAGAAAAAGCTGAGGAAATCGCCAGACACATTCCCCTCTCATCCGGAATCCAACCACACCCATACCACAACAGCAGAAGAATTCCTTACATCACCCATTCCATTTTGCTTACTCCCTAAAGCAGTTAATCCTTCTGAGGTCAAACATCATTTACAAAAACTTCCTCTCTATAAATCTCCTGGATACGACTTCCTTAACTCTCAAATCCTCCGATAACATCCTCCTAAAGCTGTTATATTTCTCAGATACTTATACAATATCATCCTAAGAACCACCCACTTTCCTCTTTTTTGGAAACATTCCACTATTATCCTTTTTCTGAAACTAGGCAAACCTACCAACACCTAGACATCTTCTTAGGGCTTCTTCCCAAGCTGAAAACACATCTACCCCAGTCCTTGTACCTAATCCTTCGCTCCTACCTCTCTGATCGTACCTTTCGAGTTCGCTATGGTACCGAATTTTCCTACCCAGTTGAAGCCGGTGTTCCTCAAGGTAGGTAGCGTCTTTGCCTCCGTCCTTTATATCATTTTTAACGGTGATATCCGTGTCCATCCCGAAACTTTCCAACATTTGCTGATGACACCGCCATTCTATCTTCCAACTCAGATCCCGAAATAGCATCTTTAAATCTACAAACACACCTCTCCCTGATTCAGCACTTGTGTAATAAATGGCACATTAAAGTAAACGAATCCAAATGCAAACACATTACCTTTACTCTCCGGCGCAGATCCTATCCACCAGTCCACTTTAATTCCATCCAGCTTCCATTCTCAGACACAGTCCGGTATCTTGGCTTTCTCTTAGACCGAAGACTAACGTAGAACTCACATGCTAGACTTAAAAGCAAGAACTTAACTGAAGATACAGCCAATTATACAGACTACTGACTAGAAAATCTCAACTTTCTTGTGACAACAAATTACTGATCTACAAGATAATCCTGAAACCTATTTGAACCTACTGACTTGAACTTTAGGGGACAGCTAAATTTCAAAACATCAAACGCATCCAATCCTTTCAGTCGAAAGTCCTCCGAACAATAGTCGATGCTTTGTTCTATGACACCAACAACACCCTACACCATGACCTTAATATTTCATTTGTCTTAGACCTTATCCCTAAAAGTTTTTCCAAATGTCATCAGAACCTTACAAGTCATCCAAATCCTCTTGCACAATTCCTATCTAATCCCACTCATTCCTACAATCCTCCTCGAAGGTTGAAGCGGTTATGGCCCAGAGATCTCGTGTAGTATATAATCTTGGAGTTCTGGAAATGGCCAGATTCTCCACTCAAGACATGAGTGTATGTTGCTAAAGCGCTCTCGCTTAAACTCCACTGACTTTTGAACCAGTGAAGCGATTGAGACAGTAGCGAAGGGATCTCTTGTAGTCCTGCTTTTCCCTCTACAGCTGGAGGGACAAGCCAGGCTTGGGGTTCCTTGCCTGATTGTATATAGTTATGACTGTTTTTTTTTATGTTTTTAATTTGCTTATCTTTAGGTTATTTTATTTTTTATTATTATTTTACTTTTGTTAATTTCATGTTTTCGGTATATATGGTGTGAATGTATTCATACCTCACTATAATTATTGTCAACGTGTTGTATCTATCGATCATCCGTGATTTAACACATGAGATCGATTATTGAATATTGTTGAATGAATGTTAATTTAATCAATTGTTGTAAAAGCATAGATATCCAATAGAAATATTATAAAAGAAGAATTCTACTTTTTCAATTGCAATTTGAATATTTCCTGTGGGAAGTCAGTTTCAGATATTTTCTTATTATAACAGTTCATCAGAGGCTTGAGTGACCAATCAATGAGGCAACATTTGCTGTTTCAAAACCCAAAAACATTTAATGAAGGTAAATATAAGGCCTTAACATTAGAGGCATCTATTTCGGACAATAATGAAATTTCAGGAGAAAACATCATAGACCCCTCAATTAGTAAACTTCCGTGGGCGATTAAATTTTTCTCCACTCCTCGAGTCCAACGAAAATCCAGAAGCCTCTGAGATTAAAAAAAAACAAGGTATACATTTTAAGAATCTTGGAATTGATTGACTATGCTTTCGCTCTGGTCGTAATAATCACTACGCCAAGGATTGCAGAATAAATTCTAGGAAGATAAGGTGCAAACAACAGTAGAAAAGGTAAGTTTTAAAAAGTTGATTTCTGAAAAGAAAAATATTAACTCCGTGGACAACGAAGACACAGATTCTGACTCAAGTTCATCAAAACAAATTGTTCACAAATTTCAAGATGCGCAAAAATATTATGTTAGTGTTAAAATAGAGAATAAATTCCAAACGTTTGAAGTTGATTCAGGTGTAGGACGGACACTATTACTCAAAACTAATTTTTTTAAATAAATCCAGGTGGGTGGAGGCTCGGGTATCAAAAGAAGCTCCCACTTCTCAAAAAAAAATTAAGTTGTTACAATCTATATTTTATAATCATGGGTTTCCACGAATCTTAATCTCCAATAACGTGAATATTTTCAAAAGCGAGATCTTTATCAGATTTTGCGACAAGGCTGGAATTAAACAAAAATTTATAACTCCTGGAGATCCAGCGACAAACGGTATGGCAAAATTAATGATAATTTAATCAATCGTTGTAAAAACATAGATATCAAATAGAAATATTATAAAAGAAGATACTACTTTTTCAATTGCAATTTGAATATTTCCTGTATTCGACATAACACCACGTGACAGATTATTATATTTCTAAATAAAAAAACAAAAAAAATTATATTAACATCTAATGTTAATAAAATTTGTTGTGAGGATACGTGCAGCTGAGTGTATGAACCCAGGAAGCGTCAGCCAAACACATTTCCAACATTAATGTTTTAACTAATAAGACAAGTCAGGACTTACTTATAACTGAGTTGATGTCCGATTGTAAATTAAATGAAGGATTTTCGCCTGGTTCTTGTTATTATTGTCTCAGTTCTTAAACGATGTACGTTAGAGGTAGAAACATCAAACTAATATTAGCGATTAGTCATTATTAATATTTCAAAATTTAAAAAAACATGTGTGTGTTACGGGAGGAGGGAGGGTTGCTCTGCTGGATGATTTACTAGTTACTAAATTATAGTTGACATAAATTACTTACTTTTATATCTCTGAGTTGTCTGCATCGTTCCCTAAGATCCTGCACTTCGTCAACCCAGAGGTAGTGGTCCCTCCATTTGAGGACGTAGTTGACTCCTTTATAGGCCGTAGCTACGAATGCACGCCTTTTATACAATGCTTTTAAATTTGGATAATCCCTTTCTTTTACTAGATGGATTATCCATAGATCATTTCTTTCGTTGACTACTTTCTGCGTGCCAGCTTCAGATTCTTTTTTACGCTGTTCTTTTCTAAAATATTACATTTAAATTTTATACTCGCTACGATTTAAAATTTATAAAATAAACTATTAAAAAAAAAATTAGTATGCAAATCAGCAGAATATCAGAACACCAAAAAATACTTGGATGGATTTAGATGTACAAGTTATGAGTTATAACGTACGAACTTTGTTTAATAGGAAGTTTTTTTTTGTTAAATAATAAGGGATAACTAATTAGTTTCGTACACAAACTTATAAATATTTTGTTTTAAAAAGAAATAGTAAAGATAAAATCACTTACAACATGTTTTCTAATAACACGTTGAGCTTCCTAACAAATTTTCTGACAATCATTCCTTTCTCCACTGATCTCACTTTTAAATGCTGGGCTTTAACATGATTCGCTACATGTAAAAAGTCAACGAACCTCTTCCTTAAGAGGTGCTGCTTTTCCTAAGAATTAAAGATTTTATTAATCGTTGGATTAGTATGTACTGTGTTGTTTACCATTATAATTTTAGAATTTAAAAAAATACTTTTGTTGGAACTTACTTTTTTCAAAAGTTGTTCTTTGATGCCATTACGTTGTACAGTCCACATATAATGCCTATAGGCATTATAACTCTTTGGACTACATTTAACCTTATTTTGGCTTGTAATGACACCCGAATCCTCAATGTACTTCTTGACGTGGGATGCTAGTAGGAAATGTTTCAAGTATGGGTCATGTATAGGCTCATACTCAAGTTTGAGATCGTGACAGTACGGGTCCCCTAGATCGAAGGTTTTAGACATTCGTAGTATCTGAAAATAAAAAAAAAAAATTAAAATTTGAATAGTGATGGCTTGTTTTCTCAATAATTAAAAAAAATCACAACTTAAACCATATAATCTTCTTCATCTTTTACTAGTACGATTGACGTGGGTATCTTTCCTAAGCCTGCTCAACGAATATTTATCAAACTCTACACAGAAATAACACCAGTTGAAACAGACGAAGGTAACCATATTTCCTGAGTTGTAATTCGGAACAATTTATCATTTAAGGTAAGGAAAATAAATTTCAAGGATAAGAAGGTAGTCTATGCCTTTTTACAAGACAGGTACTTTTTTATAGTTAGACATAAATCTATTTTAATTCACAGATATCATTGTTCCAGAATTGTACATTCCAGTTCAAAATAAGCTGTGCAGATGAACAGTGGAACGTCCTATCCTTAATCGTTAAAGAAACAGCAAAGGAAGTTGTAGGGATAGAGGAAAGAGCAGTTAGGTCTCCGTGGTTTGATGCGGAGTGTGCAGTTACTACGAATTTAAAAAATAAAGCCTACAAAAACATGATTCAGAAGCGGCACACGAGAAGGGCCACAGAGGAGCATAGAGACAGTAGGACGGAAGAGCAGAGACTACACAGAGAAGAGAGAATGGGAAAGGAGACAGCTAGAGGAGATGGAGGAGCAAAGGAGACAGAGTAAATCAAGGGCATTCTACAAGGCGGTGAATGAAAGTAGGACATCATTCAAACCAAGGGTCCGACTATGTCGAAACGAAGACGGCTCCATGATCACAGATAAGGAGCAGATTTTGGTCCGATGGTCTCATCACTTTGATACACTTCTGAACGATGGTGCAGATGGTCCGGACGATTTCATGATCCCAAGTGCTGAGCATCTGGATTCCCCTGGCCCACCGACATGTGAGGATGTTCTTGAGGCAGTTAACAGACTGAACAACAACAAAGCCCCAGGAGAGGATGGAATTCCTCCTGAGCTTCTCAAGCCTGGTGGCGAGGAATTTCAGAGAACCCTCTACGACATCATCCTCGCCATCTGGATTGAAGAGAAAATTCCATATCAGTGGAAGAAGGGAATAATTATCCACTACACAAGAAGGGTAATATCCTCGACTGCTCCAATTACCGTAGGATCTCACTTCTTCAGTGTGCATATAAGATCCTCTCAAACATTATTTACTCCAAACTCCTCCCGTTTGCTGAAAGAGAGATAGGTAAATATCAGGTGGGGTTCAGAGGAGGAAGATCTACAGTTGTTGATCAGATGTTTAGCCTCCGCATTACACTGAAAAAGTCTCAAGAGTACGGGATGATGACCCATCACCTGTTTATTGACTTCCAGGAGTGCATACGATAGCATCAAGAGACCTCAACTGTATGCTGCCCTGTGTGACCTTGAAGTTCCCCCGAAATTAGTCCGCCTCATGTGATGATGCTAGGTGCACTGTTTGGGTACAATCAGACCTGTCACCTGAATTTGTCTCCACGCGAGTAATTAGGCAGGAGAATGGGCTTGCCTGCCTATTGTATAACCTGACCCTGGAGAACGTGATACGCGACTCGGGAATCCAGACAACTGACGCTATATTTAACAGATTAACGCAAACACTGGAATTTGCAGACGATCTAGATCTGATGGCACGTTCCTTCGACTCTCTTAAGAGTGCATTTTTAAAGTTGGCTGAAGCGGCAGAAGCTTTGGGAATGAGTGCAAACCAGGAATAGCCAATGTATATGCGAGCAGGATCTGAAACCGAGTAGTACAAGTACCGGTGGTTATGGGCCCATTTACGTTCCACAATGTAGACCAGTTTACCTATCTAGGAGCTATTGTAAGCTGTGGAAATAGAATATCCTTGGAGGTCAAGCAGCGAATATAAGGGCAAACAGGTGCTATTTTGGCCTCAGCAAACACCTTGGAAGCTCTGCCATCTCCCGTCATACAAAATGAAATGAAATGAAAATAATTTTATTATTCTGGTACTAGTGTCCCTTTAGAACAAGTCACAAATACAGAATATATATCAATATTTTGGTGTGTCCATGAAATACTATTTAATATTTACAGAATGATTCGGAGTACAATAAAATTTTTTTTTTAATCTATTTATTGAATACAATACAAATAATACAATCAGCCACTGCTGGAGGGCTATAAGTATTAGGGCTAAGAGTTCTCATTCAAACAATATATCCAAATAATAGAGAAATAAATATAAATATAAAAAGTAAATAAATAATACTGATCAAGAAAGTAAATAAAAGAAAAAAAAAGTAAACAATAACATAAAATAGAAACTTCTAAACACAATCATAGCTATATACAATAAATACATTCGCCCGGGAATCTCCGAGCCAGGCTTTTTCCCCCACATGTGGAAGGCAAGACTCCAGGAGATCCCAGTGCCACTTTTCCAGCCGCATCACTAGTATTAGAAGCCAGTGGAGACTGAAAGAGTGCACTAGAGCCACAGACGCTCGGGACATGAGTGAAAAAGCTGGCCATTGCCAGGACTCCAGAAGCATATTTACAAGAGATCTCTGGGCCACTGCCGTTTTAACCTTCGTGCAGGATTGTAGGGATGAAAGGAGCTGGATAGGGATTGGGCTAGAGGATTTGGATGATGGACGGGGATTCTGGTGAAAGTTTGCGAATCTGGATGGGATGATGTCGAGGACAAATGGGATGTTAAGGTCATGGTGTAGGGTCATATTTGTGACATAATATGGGGCATTGACTATTGTTCTAAGTAATTTGGACTGGAAGGATTGGATGCGTTAGATATTCGAATGTTTAGCAGTTCCCCACAGTTCAAGTCTGTAGGTCCAGATAGGTTTCAGTATGGTCTTGTAGATTAAAAGTTTTCAATCGAAATATGAGATGTCCTACTTAGTAATCTATACATCTGGCCATATCGTCGGTTAAGTTCTTGTCTTTTAAGTATGGTATGTGGGTTCCAAGTTAGTCTTTTGTCTAGAAGGAAGCCAAGGTGACGGACTGTGTCTGAGTAGGGAAGTGGAATTGAATTAAAAAGGATTGTAGGACAGGATCTGCGTCGCAGGATGAAAGTGATATGTTTGCATTTTGATTCACTGATTTTGATGCGCCAGTTGTTACACCACTGCTCAATCAAGGAGAGGTGAGATTGAAGGTTTAGAGATGCTATTTGAGGATCTGAGTGGGAGGATAGAATGGCAGTATCATCAGCAAATGTAGCTAGAAATGTATCGGGATTTAAAGGGATATCGGAAGTGAAGAGGATGTAGAGAACTGGGCCCAAGACACCAGTGGAGTTCTCTACAAGTTGTGGAACACCAGCCTCAACTGGATAGTAAGTGGAGAATTCGGTATCACAATGGACTTGAAAGGAACGCTTTGAGAGGTAGGATTTGAGGACTAGGTATAAGGATTGGGGTAAATGGGTTTTGAGCCTTAAAAGCAAGCCATCGTGCCACACCCGTCCAGAAAGGCACCAGTGCAATAATGCTTGTTTTCAAGTGCAGAGGATATATGGTCTACAACACGAAGGCCTTGTTGGACTGTGGAATGTCTTGAGCGGAATCCAAACTGATGAGAAGGGATGTTGTGGGATTTGATTATGGGTAGGATGCGTTTGAGAATGATTTTCTCAAAGATTTTTGAGAGGATCGGGAGTAAGCTTATCGGTCTATATTATATTATTAACAGGTTTACCTGGTTTTGGAAACAGGATGATTATGGAGTGTTTCCACACCAAAGGAAAGTTGGTTGTACGAAGGATGCAGTTGTATAGATAGGTAAGGAATATGATTGTTTTTTTGGGAAGTTGTCTGAGGATTTGCGAAGTGAGGAGATCATATCCAGGAGATTTTCGGGATTTTAATTTGTTTATAAGGAATTTGACCTCAGAGGGGTTAACAGGTTTTGGAGGTAGAGAGAGAGAGAGAGAAATTGGTGAAGAGAGGAATTCTTCAACTTCAGCAGTGTGGGTGAGATGGAGTTCGGGATGAGGGGTGAATGTGTAGGATAGATGTTTAGCGAACTCTTCTGCTCTATTCGCATCTGACGAAGCCCAGGAACCATCATCACGGCGAAGTGGATGGGAAATGGACTGGAATTTAAGGATTTTTTTGGTTACATTCCAGAGGGAGTTATCACTAGCGGATAATGAGGAGAGGTAGGAATTGGGTTCTAAAGGTATCCAGTTTCTTTTTTACCTGTTTGGAATAATAATTATACGATTTCCGGTCATCAGGATGCCTGGTTCTTTGCCAAAGGGTCCTAGAGCAACGTTTGCTATGGATTAGGTCCAGTAGGTCTTGAGGTAAAGGATTTATGTTATGGTATTTTTTGGGACGATCAGGTGAGGATGCAGTCCAAGCTGTGTGCTGGATTAGGGTAGTAAAGGAATGCACTGCATCGTCGAGGTCTTCAGGTGTTTTTAAGGAAACTCTGAGGTCTATATTATCTTCCAGTATTTGACGGAAAAGGTTCCAGTTAACTGGCCCCCTGATAAATGAAGGTGGGGATGATTTGGGAATGGGAGATGTGGAAACGGTTAGGATTAGAGGACTATGGTCTGAGGAAAGATCATCAAACCTTGAAATAGAACAGTGTAATGATCCTAGACCTTTGTGGAGGAAAAAGTCTAGAAGGTCGGAATTGCGGTTGGGACCTGTTGGCCAGTATGTGGGTGTATTAGGTGAAAGGATGTTGCTGCGATGGGAATTAAGTGTAGATAGCAATGTTCGCCCTCGGGAATTTGTGGATCTTGCTCCCCATTGCTGGTGTTTTGCATTTAAATCTGCACCTAAGAGGAAGTGGTGTCCTAAGGAATTCAGGAAGGAAATTATTTGGGATTCGGAAATGGGTGTTTTAGGCGGGGAATATGCCGCAACTAGTGTTATCGGGTAAAGGGGTTTTGGATTAATACGGCTGTGGATTGTAGGAAATTATGGCTTGGTAAGGGAAACAAATGATGGGAAACGGATCGATGGATAATTATGGCAGTGCCACCATACAATAAAGTCA